GGCAGCCCATTGAGGCTGCAGAGGACATCTAGTACTATAGCAGAGGATGGAGGGCAGAACAAATTGGACAACTCTCCCAGCCAGGCATTGACAGAAAGTATCTGGGTGAATGGAGAATCCAAGGTGTACTATGTCAGCCAAGGGAACTTGCAGTGATTTCCTCATCCTTGGAACAATAAAATCAACATCATTTCAGAACTATAGAAATCACTTGAGCAGAACCCTCAGAACATGCTTCACATCAGGGACCTAGGGATGACATCAGGTGGCCGTTCACCATCCCTAGGGGCTGATGTGGTTAGGATGCTGAATGTGGCTTTTCCCCTTCTATCCCCACTTCCCTTAGAAGAAAAAGAAACTTGGAAAGAATAGTCTCATCCACTTTCCCCTAATCTTCAACCCTTCCCATCCCAGTCAGTAGTCCACATGAACATACATCTTTTTCAAATATTTAAATTCATCAAAAATAAATCCTTAATAATCTTTTAAAAAAAGAAATCAACAGTGAAAAAAAATCTCTAAAAGAATAAGTCAAAATAAAAAAGTATTTTTATTATTAAAAAACATTTATTTACATGTTGAGGGCAAAAGAGAGGAGACAAATCAAGCTCTTATTTGCTGTGTTACTCTGCAAAAGCCTACATCAGCCAGGGCTGTGACTGGTCAATGTAGAGAGCCAGGATCTCAGGCCCAGTCTCCCATGTGATTATCAGGAACCCAATTACTTAAGGAGCCATCACATTGCAGCCTCCTATGGGGTACAGTAGGAGGAAGCTGAAATTGAGGGTGGACCTGTCCCAAACAATGTCTTAACTGCTAGGCCAATTGCTTACCCCATCACAATATTATCTATTTAAACATCCGTATGGAGTTGTCAGGTGGCTTAATTAAAATAAATTAGGAACAGGAGTGGGCATTTAGCCTAGCTGTTCAAATGCTGGTTAAGATCGCTTGGGTCCCATGTCCAGAGTACTTCAGTTCAATGCTTGTCTGTGTCTCCTAACTACAGCTTCCTGCTAATGTACATTCTGGGAAACAGGGGTGATAGCTCAAATAATTGAGTCATTATCTCCCTTTTGAGAGCTCTAGATTATGTATCCAGCTCCTGGAATTGGCTCTGATTTGGTCCAATTATTGCAGTTTTTGCGGGATGTCCTAGTGGTTATAAGCTGTTTGTCTTTGCCTCTTACATAAGTATAAAATTCTAATTACAGTTTTAAAATTGTAATTTAGATTATATATTTTCAGCATATCGTATTTATATATTAATGTATATGAATCTATAACATATTAACATATCATATATATGATGTATTAAATCTGCTTAAATTAAAAAGCTATGAAGCCCATCTTCCATTTCCATTAAAAAGGATATAATTGGGCTAAGTCTTAGATTTGCTGTTGAAATAATTCACATGCCTATTTCACATTGATGCAATATTTTAGTTATATCACATATTTAAAATCACATCAGATATATTAAACATTTAGCTTTTTCCTATATGACATTTTACAAATTAATTATTTTCTTCTTCTGCTTCTGCTTCTTTATTTTTTAAAGGAAGCATGAAACATGACAGGAAGAAAGAGCTCTTCCGTTTGCTGGTTTACTCCTCAAATGGTCAAATGTCTACAACAGCAAAGAAGCCAGGAACCTGGAACTCTGTCCAGGTCTCCCACTGCCAATGGCTAAACCTGCCGTGCCATAATTGCAGCCTCTAACAAATCAATTCTGTTGAAAATCTTCTCATTCATTTCTGTCAGCTTCAAATGCATTTTTGACATCAATGTCTTAACTACCACTAGTACAATTTTTGGAGTTAAATAGACATTTCCCAAAATTTGTTGCTCTCATGTGTCTCCATGTGTTTTGAAATAAAACTTTATTTACATTCATGAATATTGTCATAAATGAGAAGTTACATAAGTTTGTGAAATCTGTGTATAGAAATGCTTGTGATCATTGTACAGATAACTTTCTTTGTGACTGAAATGATTAATATCTCTTTATTATAAAGCCAGACAATTGATAAAACCAGTGAGGCAATTTCTTTTACATAGAGGATTACAAAATTTTAATTCACAAAAATTGTATACATTTATGGCATATAACTTGATATTCTGATGAATGTATACATTTAAATCAAGCTAATTAACATGCACATTAGCTCACATACTTATCCTTTTGTGTGTATGCGATGCAGGCACCTAAAAACTACCCTCTTGGTAATTTTCAACTGTACTTTACCTTGTTATTAACTGTAGTTGCTACATGGCAGGGGATCTCTTGGGCTTACTTCTCCTATCAACAAAATTTGTGGTTTTTTGACAGTTGTTTCCCAAAGAGATCTAGACTTTCTGACTGTATCCAGTGCCAGAAAATATGAGATATTATCCTATTTTTATTTTGATTCTAACATGTCAGACATGATTAACAAATGATACATGCTTATTTAAAAGAACCAAGGGACTCTGGCATAAATGTAAAGAATCATAAATTAGTAGTTGGCTTCTTTTTTTTTCACTTAGTAAATGATGAAGATTACACGTATCAGTACATATAACTGCCTAGCATCCCATTGCATAAATGCACTTAATCAGCCTTCTTCTGGTAGTATTAAGTGGATTTTTGTTTTTGCTATATCAAACAGCAGTACCGCAGTAAGTACCCTTAGATTTGCTACAGGTATAGAATCCCTGGAACAAAATATAGATACATTTTAAAATTTAGATGTTTCTTGCTGCCTTCCAAAGAAATGATATTCATTTTTACCAGAACCAGAAAGATGAGAAAGTATATCCCTACGCTCTCTCCAAAATTATTTATTGTCAAGCATTTTAATTTTGATCATTTGTTTGGTAGAAAAACAATCATGCCATCGTGGATTAAGTATTATCAGGGGCAAGAAGTTTTTATTTCTTGCAGGGAAATTTGATTTACGGAAAAAACCCAGTCTTATCTAAAGACAGATAATGAAATGAATTTTAATCCTAGGGTTTTGGGGATTTTGTTTTTGTTGTTTTGAGAGAAGGGGTTAAAAAAAAAAGACAAGATCTGACTTTTAGCTAAAACTGATATTCTTGAAGCAGACATTTAGGTGAAGTGTGTTAAAACACCACTTAGCACAGGGGGATCCCGTGTGGGGATGTCCATTCCAAGACCCAGCTATTTTATTTTAGATCCAGCTTCCTGGTAATGCCCTGTGAGAGACATAATGGCTGAGTGCTTGGGCTTCTGGCAGCCATGAAGGAAACCCAGATGGAGTTTCAGGCCCCTGGCTTAGGTCTGGTCCGGCCTGGCTATTTGCAGACATTTGGGTAGTGAGCAGGCAGAAGGGAGATCTTTCCCTCTTTGTCGTGCTCAGTGTGTGTGTGTGTGTGTGTGTGTGTGTGTAACTACATTTCAAGTGTATATATATATATATATATAAACATTTAAAGCTGATACTCTTTGCTGGGTTATAAATTGTTTTAGTAGAGCATTTCAAATGAAGAGGTACAAACATGTCTGAAGTCCTGGCACTATTAATTGGTGCACTGTTACAATAGTCCAAGGGAGGTTATTTGAATTGAACAATACTCATTGGATTGCGTATAATCTGGTATGTTTGTTTGAAAAAGTCACCCACCATGCAGGCATTAGCTCAAACTGATGTCTGTCTTAGGATGGTACATTAAAAACCTCAATAACGTCAATTTTCTCAGATTGAATTATTAACTTAGGTAATGCTTACTTTCAGTTTTCTCTTTTATATAAAGAAATCTTTTTTGCCATTGATTAATAAGCATTACCAGTATAATGTTTACAAAAGTGCATTATCTTTTTTTTTTTAAGATTTACTTATTTTTATTGGAAAGGCAAATTTACAGAGAGAAGGAGAGAAACATGGCAGGAAAGATGTGGTAACCTAATGGTCAAAGTCCTCGCCTTGACCTCATTGGGATCCCACACAAGTGCTGTTACATGTCCCAGCTGCTCCACTTCCCATCCAGCTCCCTGCTTGTGGCCTAGGAAAGCAGTAGAGGATGGTCCAAAGCCTTGGGACCCTGTACCTGCATGGGAGACCTGGATTAGGCTCCTGGCTCCTGGCTTTGGATCGGCTCAGCTCCGGCCACTGCGCCCACTTGGGGAGTGAACCAGTGCATGAAGAACATCTTTCTGTTTTTCCCCACTGTATATCTACTTTTCCAATAAAAATAAATCTTTAAGAAGACAAGAAAGAAAAGAAAAAAGATCTTTCATTTGCTCTCCAAATGAATGCAACAAGAGCTGAGCCCATCCAAAACTCCCATCCAGGAGTTATTTCCATGTCTACCACATGGGTACAGGTTCACAAGGCTTTGGGCCATCCTCTGATACTTTCCCAGGCCATAAGAAGGGGGCTGGATTAGAAGTGGAGCAGCCAGGAGACAAACTGATGCCCATATGGGATGCCGGTGTTTGGAGGTGGAAGATGAGCCATTTGAGCCATCCTGCCGGTGCCATTTATTATCTTTCTACACAGTGGATCAAATTATTTATACTTTCCATTTCTCCTTTAAAACTAATAAATGTTTACATATAGTTATAGCATATTATGCATATTAGCAAGTCAAATTTAAATGTTCACGGTATTTGTATATTTTAACTTCAGAACAAGTTATGTGTTTTAAACATCAAATGAACGCATTTACATTTTCTTAAGGTGAATGGAATTTAATGTCTTTCACTTTGAAGGAAGCTAATTTTGTGAGAAACCAACTTAACACTTGATAGGCTGCAAGTCAAATATCTGAAATTATTATATATGTTTAAGTTAGATTTTATTAATATTTTCATTGAAGCAGTTGTCCTCTATGGTTCTTCCAAATACGTCTGTGTTAAGTAAACCATCTTGTTTTTATTTTCTATGCTAAATCCAATTATTATCAGAATCGCCTCCTGCAACAGGATTGAAAACAGCTCTCTCGGGAGTGCGCTTTCCTCCAGCACTCACGTGTCTGCATGTTTTGTCCCGCAGAGAAATGGTCAACGCATGGTTCGCTGAGAGAGTCCATACCATCCCTGTGTGCAAGGAAGCCGTCCGAGGCCACCCTGAGTCTTGCTCCTGCCCCTCGCAGCCAAATCCTCGTGCCGACAGCAGCACCCCAGGAACACCTACCAGGAAAATCTCAGCATCTGAGTTTGACCGGCCCCTTCGACCCATTGTGGTCAAGGATTCCGAAGGCACCGTGAGCTTTCTCTCGGACTCGGACAAGAAGCAACAGATGCCTCTAACCCCTCCACGGTTTGAGCATGACGAAGCGGACCAGTGCTCGAGACTCTTGGAGCTGGTGAAAGACATTTCCAGCCATTTGGATGTCACAGCTCTGTGCCACAAAATTTTCCTACACATCCATGGACTCATCTCTGCCGACCGCTATTCTCTGTTCCTTGTCTGTGAGGACAGTTCCAACGATAAGTTCCTTATCAGTCGCCTCTTTGATGTGGCCGAAGGATCAACACTAGAAGAAGCTTCCAATAGCTGCATCCGCCTAGAGTGGAACAAGGGCATTGTGGGTCATGTGGCAGCGCTTGGCGAGCCCTTGAACATCAAGGATGCCTATGAGGTAAACAGGCTACCAGGGAGCAGGGGCTGGGGCGCTGGACCACAGCTGAGCTAGCATGAAATGCAGTGGCATGCGTATTTATTTAAACCTGGAATGGATGGTAAGCATTTCCATCCCTTTTAAATGCCACTGTTTCTTTACTGTGGTTCCGTCAAGGACATGGCCTATGAGAAAATTTGTTTTTCCTCTTTAACATTAATTTAAGATAACTCATCTCATAATTGTATTCTTACACCTATCTAATCACTGGGAATTGCTCTGTGTTATCTTAATACAAACATCTGAGGATTTTTCCGAGCTTCTAAAACAATCCATAATCATCCCCCATTTATTTATTAATTTATTCAGTTCATCGTATTTACTCCTTCCAAGTCCCACTGATAATAAAGTCTGATTTTCCTTTCCTGTATCCCCCCATCCATCCCATAATAAACTTAGCAATGTCATTTAAAATAGAAACTCTAAAATGTTTTATTGGAAAGATTTGATGTTTCTTCAACTTTTGCTACAAAAATACCCTGGTCTTTAATGATGGGCTTAAAAGAATGCATTGTGAGACTGCAAATTTCTACTTAAAATTATTCCATTTACTAATAGAATTGTAGTTTTGACATAAACCATCTCAAGTGAATGACATTTATATTATGAAAATATTGTATCATCTTGACAGAACCGTGGCTAAAGCAATCTACTTTAGTAACACTATAGAGATTCACTAGTAATTCTGATTTCTTCTATGTAATTCAAAGGGTCATGTTTTATTCACCATGGTATTCCTGGTTCCTGGTGCAACACCTTGTGTATAATTGTTCTCAATATTTGTTGAATTAAAATAGAAGATGTAGTAGATAATAAACATTAAGGGAAACATGATAGAACCCGGAAAGTCAGGAGATGACATCTAGATGGGAAAGTTTAGGTAAACTTTTCTGCAGAAGCAGTGCCCAATGTGGACCCTCAGAAATATAAATTATTTTAATAAAATAAGATATGTTCATGGTGAGATCCAGATGTAAAGAGAAGTTTGATAAGGAGACGGTGAATTAGGACCATGGAAATGTGTGGTTAAGAACCTAGACACTGGAGAACCATAGTAAAAAGACCAAAACAATATTGGGATCTTGAATACCAGACTAGGAAATAGACTTTTTCTGACCCAAGGGGAGCATGCTAGTCATATCTTAGTTGATACATGAAAACTCGATCAACATGAGAGATTTATTGAGCTCTTGGTTCTTAAGTTCAAGGACATGTCTCCTACATCAGTTGAGTTCTGATGAGTGCACTCTAGGCCGTATCACATCAGGGTGGATGACAATGGGAGAACATGAACCAAAGGAAGAGCTCACATCTCCACAGAGGAAATGACAGGGGGAAGGTGGGGTCCTTTAACAACCGACTCTAACAAGAACCAGGAGAAGTATTATGCCCTTTCAAGGGCAATGCTCTCAGTGACCCAGAGACCTCCCCTCAGGCCCCATATCCTACAGGTTTCCCACCATACCCTCCTGCCATACTGGGAAGCAAGTCTCTAAAATATAGACACTTGAGGAACAGACCACATCCACACCACAGTGAGGAGAAACTCAAGATGTTTCGGAAAATCAACTAGTATGGTTTAGTGGGTGCTTCAGCAACCAGTCATGGGGAAAAAATCCTAGACAGCAAGAGCATAGAAGATGACGTGTAGCAGTTTAACTTAGAGAAACCAAGGACCTTGAATTAGGACTCTGCCTTAAAGGTCAAAAGAAGGAGGTGGATTTCTAGTTAAAACTTTGCCTCTGCTGAACTTGTCAGCTGATAAGAAATGAAAATAAAGGGTAAAGAAGTCTCTGAGTTGCCTGAAATCTTGAAGTTGAGGAATTCTGGTGAGGAACTCTGGGGAGAAGGATTAGGGATGTGATAGTTTAAAGGAGATTTTTTGCCTCCTGAGATGTTTCTCAGATTGCATTCTATACAGGCAATTGATTCATTCTTTTTCTCCATGCAATATTTCCTAGTTGTCATGGAGCTATCTCTGTGACCTCTTAGAGCTCTGCAGAATCCAAGAGCGAGTTCAGGACATGGCCGAAGGACTGCTGCCAAATTTGCAGAATTCCCTTCCTCACTTCTCTTGGTTTCTGCTTTTCAGTGGCACTTAAACCCCAAGTGCAGGAGGTACAGCTTCAGCTTTGTGCTACAGCTTTTCTGAAAATACGTTGTTTGTATGGTGCTAAATGTGTCCAGGCCCTGGATTTCTCCTCTTACATGATGTTGTTGAATGTGTTTATGATCTTTTAAGTTTTGTCCCTTTTTAAAAATTTATTTTGAGAGTAGAGAGACCAAGACTGAAAGAGATTTTCCATCTACTGGCTTTTTCCTGAAATTCTCACTACAATTGGGCAAGATGAAGCCAGCAGCAGGTCCCCCCTGTGGATGATGGGAACCCAAGTACTTGAGCTGCTTTCTGCTTGCTGCTGAAGCGTGTAACAACAGGAAGCTGGAAACAGAAGGACTTGAACCCACAGGGTACTAGTATCCCAAGCAGCATTATAACCTCTGTGCTGTGTGCCTACTTTTGCTTACCATCTTTAAGTGTACTTGACGATATACTTGTTGAATTTATTTGCTTATTTTTTTATATTTGATTTGAAAATCAGAGAGAAGTCCATTCACTGCTTCACTCCCAAAGGTCCTCAGCAGTCAAGGGCTGGACCAGATCAGAGGCAGGAGTTCACAACTGGTCTCCCATGTGGTTGACAATGATCCAAGCACTTGAGCCATCATGTACTACCTCCCAGAATGCGCATCACCAGCAAGCTGGGGGTGGAAACAGAGCCAGGACTGGAACACACGCCCTCAATAGGGACTGCAGGTGTCTCCAGCAGCATCTTAACTGATATCCCAAATGCTTACCCCTGGCAGTGTACTGTTTTGTGTTTGCAGTTAATAATGATTTAATTCCTGTACTGCCGTTTCATACAGCCAGTGTCCTTGATTTGCTCTGCTCCTAGCGTGAAGCTCTTTAGCCTGTGGATTCTTAACATTGCTACTTTACCCTAGGTAACCTTGATCTGTGCTTGCAGTGACCTTGTGAAAGTTATTCATGTCCCAAGAATTTCACTAAAAACTGTAGGCTTAAAAAAAAACAATATGTTTTGATCTGCAATCTATATTTTAATACTAGCAAAAGTCAGTAGGTTAACAGATTATCACTCAGCATCATTCATAATTTGAATAAATAAAAAGCTGTGGTCTTTTGTAAAAACAGCCATAATATGAAAATACATTATAATCTATTTTTGTAAACACAAGGTACCTTTATAAACCTGCATCTGTAAAAATGACCCTTTGTAGTAGTTTTTCTTATAGTCTGTGACTGAAGAATACTTTTTAAAAAAAAGATATAGTTTATTTATTTCAAAAATACAGTGACAAAGAGAGAGGGAGAGACAGATTAATCCTCTATTCACTGGATTTACACCCTATATGGCTACAATGGCTGGGACTGGGACAGGACTACAGGAAGGGCTGCCACATGTGTGATAGGGGCTCGAGTTCTTGGGACATTGTCTACTTTCCCAGGCACATTGGCAGGGAGCTGGATCAGAAGTAAAGTAGGTGGGACTCAAACAGGTACTCCAATATGAGATGTCTGCAGGACAAATAGCAGCCTAACCTGTTGTGCCACAATGCCAGCCTCAGCCACAGAACACTTTACTTTTAAAGAGTTGTCTTATTTATTTCAAAGGCAGCGTTATAGAGCAAGACAGAGAGGGAGAAAGAGGGAGACAGAGAGAAAGAGGAAAAGAATATTCTATATGCTAACTTATGCCCTAATGACCTCAACAGCTGAGACGAGGCCAGGCTGAAGCCAGGAGCTTCATCCAGGTCTCCCACAGGAAGCACCAGCCCGAGGACTCCAGCTGTCTCCTGCTGCTTTCCCAGGCATGTTAACAAGGAGCTGGATTGAAGTGGTACAATAACACTAATAATGATAAATATATATATATCTATATGCTTGTACAGTAAATTAATTGAAAGTTCTGAGCATTTGATTCACTTTTTTATAGTTTTGTAACAGAAAATGATACAAATTATGCAACTTTGAAAATGCAGCTATTTAAATATAATTATATGACATAATATGGTATTATATTATATAAACATATATATATTTAGAATGGGAGACAGGCATAAGGCAGCTTAGCCCAGGGATTCTCAGAAGAACACAGACACCTGTTGGTGCTTGCTGCATGAACCCTGAGGTTCAGTGACTCTTTCTGTAGCAGACAATCATCCATGTAGGTTCTCTGAATTCTTTGAATGTACCATAACACTTCAGATTCCCTACCATTTCCCGTCTACAGCATTTCTTTGTCAAAACATTTCTTCTACCCATGTCAATTGGAATGCAAATGTAGGATTCCTTAGGCTCCATCAGTTCTCATATACATATTGGATGGTTTTCTAGAAGGCTCCTATTGCCCCTGAATGGCCTTTGCCACCTAACTGCTATTCTTCCCAGCTTCAGTTTGCCCTCTTTTCTTTTTGCAGAGAAACCAATTTCCCCTTCTCTCTCACTGCAGGTCTCACCTTCTACTTCATAGATTTATCAGGATCATTTCTAAAGAAATAGGGACTCTCTAAGTGAATTCCTGCTGGATAAAATGAGTATTGGAATGAACTTTAGGAGACAAAAAGAACACTAGCCACTGTTTTAATTTAGATAAATCTAATCTGTCATGGAGCAATTGTGCCCCAGGGATACAATTTGAGAACTGCTGTGTCTGTGCTTGTCCAATGTTGTAATCACTTTTAGGCATTATCTTAAAAATGACACTTTTTGAAAGAAAACAAGCCCAAGAAGATCTTTGTGTTGTTTCCTTTCATTGTTTTCTGTTAGGTTTTTTTTTTTTAAAGAATTGTTTATTTTTATTGCAAAGTCAGATATACAGAGAAGAGGAGAGACAAAGAGGAAGATCTTCTGTCTGATGACTCACTCCCTGAGTGGCTGCAATAGCCGGAGCTGAGCCTATCTGAAGCCAGGAGCCAGGAGCTTGTTCTTGGTTTCCCATGTGGGTACAGGGCCCCAAGGCTTTGGGCCATCCTCCACTGCTTTCCCAGGCCACAAGTAGGGAGCTGGATGGAAAGCAGGGCTGCCTGGGTTAGAACTGGTACCCATATGGGATCCCAGGCACGTTCAAGGCGAGGACTTTAGCTGCTATGCCATTGCGCTGGGCCCTGTTTCTGTTATTTTGATATAATTTTGAACTCAGAGAAGTTGCAAGGTAAGAATAGGAAGTTTCTGTTATACCCTTTTCCCAGACTCCCCAGTGACTTACCTTTTGCTATGTTTGCCTTATCATATTTGCTCTTCCCTCTGCTTGGTTCCCTTTAGAGCGTATAAATGACACTTGCACGTAACTTTTATGGACCATTTAATAAATTGGAGATATATCTTGTTAACGTATTTGGTAATATTTTTTCTAAATAATTGTGAAAATCACAATATTTTAGTTTGATACAATTATCTAATCTGACACTGAGCTGGGTTTCACAGTACATAGTCAAGTTGCATGATTTTTCTTCTTTTCTCTATTGAGAATTTCCTTATACAAAAATTTAAAATGTTTCTCCTGTATTCTTTATATATTTACTCATACATTCATGTCAACTTCCAAGCTCTTTATTCTACAGATTCCTTTTAAATTGTACAATTTAATAGTTTCCTTTTAAATTGTACAATTTAATAGTTTTTATAGCTTGCTAGTAATGCATTCTGTTTTAGTTTCTCTGAAAATGTTTTTTTTCCTATATTCTTGAAGAGTATTTTCACTGAATATTTAGACCACTTAGAGCTGATGGCAGTTGTCTTTAAAGTTTTGAAAGAATGTTAACATTTTTTTTCTTCTGATCTTCATTTTCCTATTGAGAAGTTAGTCAACCATCCTTTATACCGTTTCTATTTCAGCTGTTTCATTCTATATTTTGTTTTCACACCAGTAGCATAAGCTTAAGGTTTCCACTAACCTAGGAAATTTTTTTCTTCCGTCTACTTAAAGTATTTTTCAGCTCTTTCTAGGTACACATACTTTATAGTCCCCCCCCCAAAAAAGCAGGATTATGTTACTGTTCCCCAATTTTCTTCCCTCTTAATAGTCTTGATAATGACTGATGATCTAAGATGAAGTTCCTAAGTCTTTCTTGCACTATTTTCAATGTGCTGTGAAATTCTGTGAACTTTTTATTTTACATATTATACTTTAATGTTCTAGAGTTTTTCTTGACTGTTTTAATAGTTGTTCCTTTCAATGAAGAAATTTCTACATGCTTGTTATTACTCCATTTCTCTTAACATTTTTAACTGTTTCCGATAGCTACTCGAACATCCTTAGCTATTACTTTTATCTCAGTCCTCTTAAGAGGGTCATTTTCTGTTGCTTTCTTTTCTCTTCACAATGGGTCGCATTCCTTTTCCAATGCATGTGTAGTAGTTTTTAATTATATCTTAGACATCCTTTAAAACAAGGCTAATTTTTTTTTCTGATAGGTAGTAAAATTACTAGTAGAATCTTTTGATTCTATAAGACTTGGTCTCATCTTTTGTTAGGGGACATCTATTTTTGTTACGAATTTATTCTTAGGAGTATCTCCAGCGATATACTGTAGACCTTGCTCATAAGAAATTAGCCTTTGTCTGGCTCAACTGATGCCTGAACAGCTTAGTAAACCCCACTGTGGCTGGCTAGGAACTCCGGTGTTTTTGAACTTTTCCCTAACTGATATGATCTTTCATCTTTGTATCTTTAGTAGATAATGTTTGCTGATCTCCTCAGAGGATTTTTGTGCTAATCACGTGCAATGTAAATAATCAGTCTTTTATCAACCCTCCATTATTCGTTCTAACTACTTCAGAAGTTGGGAACTCCTTTTGTTCCATGTGGGTCCTATGTGCCTTTCGCAAAGCAGGACAATATCCTCAAGCGGAAAGAATGTTGCCTGACAATCATAAGCCCTTCCTCTTTGCATTGTGACTTAGATCTCACATATTTTATCCTTAGCAGTAGGATAAATCTGGTAACAGTTACTGAGTTACGGCAGGAGGGTATCTACATCTCGTAATCTGAAGGGAATAATTACAATACTAATAGTGTTACCATGTTTTATGTCTTTCCAGGAAACTAGAGGGTTAGACATCCTCTGTTCCTATTGTTTTTTCACTGTTAGTGGAAAACTGTTTGAGATATTAGAAGTTTGCAATTCCACTTGAAGTGAACCACTTCAGTAGACAGAGATCCAAAATCTAAATTGTTCAAAAAAAAGACTCAAAGTTATGAATCCTGCTAATTTTCGTTAAACTCTTCTGTTTTGGTTATATAGTTAGCTTAAATGCTTTTCTTTATAAATGTGTACTATGAATTAGCTATTTATTAGAAAAATAATTATAGATGATGCATCATCTGTTGGATATGAATTTGTGAAATAATTCACTATCTGTCAGTAACTTGCCATTTCATTAATATATCAATATATTGTTCCCATCAGCTCTCTAGATGCTTTGCAGTCTTCAGATATCTAAATACCTAAAGAGAGAGTAAGTGCTGTCTCACTAGATACATTCAGCCAAGGTTTGCTCTGTGTTATAAACTAATGTAATTTGCAGCATGTTTGAAGAAATAAAGCAAAAATACAGCCATATTTATGATATAAAATGTTTATATGGTTTTTTAAAATATATAGCATTTCTTGTGAAATTACCTTAAGACTAAGGTCATCCCTCTCGAGAGAAAACTGGCCTCATTTTTGACCCAAATTGATGGAATCTAGTATGATCACCTACTTCATTCACAGATTTAGTTTTGTATGATTTTAGACTGATTCTTTTTTTAATGTAATGACCTTCAAAAGATGAGGATTTTCCAGTGTGGATGTTCCATAGTCTCTGAAGGGAATTCCAAATGCAGAGACTTAGGGACAGTGTTGCTATTATTAGGTTGAGTGAGTTACTTCCCAAAACTTTGAAGGGAAAAACACTCGTTCAGATGCTTATGTTCTGAGATGTGTGTTCCATTTGATTTTACCTCTTCTACTTGTTGTATCTCTGTTTGTTTTATCTGCTGTGGTCCCACCCACTCCCCAGAACCACTTACACACACACTGAAGATTGGCTTGATGTTAAAATAAATTCAAAATGTTCTCATTTGATAACTGTAATATTTGGGAACAAATGTCTTTGAATTCCTGTACTAATAAATGTTGGGAATTCAGTAATCATCAACAGCAAAATCCTGCTAGAGATGAGAACCCAATTTTAAAATATGAGGTTTCCTTCTGCCTTTTTTTCCTGTAGCTCACATTTAGAACTTTTACACCTCTCAAAACTGTGATGGTGGAGATTATTATTAGATGCATAGAATGTGCTTCGTGTAATTTGGAAAGAGGAAGGAAATCCTTACAATCTGATTGAGCAGATACCTCTTTTTTTCATATGAGCAGCAACAACAATTCTCATGATCCCCTGAAGTGGAAGTACAGAATATTGAGGAAATATAAGGGTAACCATGTAAAGGGGAAGGAATCTCACCTGTTGGGAAGATCATTTGGGAGATGACATGCTCTTAGAAAAGGTGTGGGGCCTGGTTTGATGGCTCAGTGGCTAAGTCCTTGCCTTGTACGCACCAGGATCCCATGTGGGTGCCAGATAATGTCCTAGGTGTTCTACTTCACTTCCAGCTCCCTGCTTGCCACCTGGGAAAGCAATTGAGGATGGCCCAAAGCCTTGGGACCCTGCACCCACATGGGAGACCTGGAATAGGCTCCTGGGTCCAGGCTTCAGATAGACTCAGCTCCAGCTGTTGAAGCCACTTGGGGAGTGAACCAGTGCATGAAGCATCATTGTCTGTGTCTGTAAAACTGTCTTTCCAATAAAAATAAATCATCTTTTAAAAAAAGAAAAGACAGTTTGTGAAGCAAAAATGCTCCTCTTGGGAAGGCATGGTAAAATCAGGAATAGGATGGGGACAGGCAAATTGTACTAAAGCAGTAGAGAGAGACGCCACTTTTTCCTGAGTTCACATAAGGCTGTCTAAAGAGGTTAATATTTTGGGTTTCATTTATTTCCTTACATTTATTCAAGTCTGGAGTTGGTTCTCATAAGCACTAGCTGCTCAAAGAGAAAAAAACAACATAGATTTATGGTTGTCAAAAATGATATGTACCAAAGTGATTTGATGCCTTTCACAATAATAAAATTGTTACCCAAAGCAATGAGGTAAGTCAAAGGTTATAGTTCTCTAATCTAATACATCTGAAGTATTACATCAGTCTTTGAGTCAGTCAGTCATTAAATTGAATTTCTTTTTCCTTACTAGGATCCTCGGTTCAATGCAGAAGTTGACCAAATTACAGGCTACAAGACACAAAGTATTCTTTGTATGCCAATTAAGAATCATAGGGAAGAGGTAAGCCAATTTTCCATTTTATGAAAAGTATTTGAAAGTATTTTGTTCTTTGAAAACTTTTTTTTTTTCACTTTGTATGTGTGTGAATTGATGCTGTGGTGACAAGTTAGCTGTGAAGTATGTCAGTGTTCTGCTTCATATTTTCTGGACTTTGGTTCTGGGATTAAATTGTACCAGACCTTATGGCCTTTGACTTGGGGGAAAAATACTGTACCTGTCATTCTCTCCCCTCCTCCTTCCCTGGATCCTTTTACTTGCTTAAATATATGATTGTGGCTGTGATTCAAATTAGTATATTTCCTGTTATATCCAAACTGTCTGAAGCATGCTTATTTCAGAAATGGGCATGTGCGTGTGATGGTCACTAGCTGACTTATTTGGATTTCAATTGAGATCTTGAAGAAATGGAAATTGTGGCTAATTGGATAATTTCACTATGACATTTTAGCAAAAAAAATAAAAATGTGTTTGCCTGTATTTTACCTAGAAGATTGATTCCATTAGCACTGGATTCTTTATTTTATTTTATAGCTTGGAAAAAAATTAATTTTCAATTAAACTTAATATTTCAATTTCACATTCTCAACCCTGGCTTTGCAATACAACCAACTGGAAAATTCTACAGTATTATTAATTGTATTAGGATTCTCCAAAGAAACCCAATTAGTTTTCTTCACAAATTTGAGAAGGGGAAGGGCTTGACCTAACGATTATAATCCTGCTTGGAATGTCTGCATCCCCTATCAAAGTGCCTGTATTCAAGTCCTTCATTTCGGTTTCTAGCTTCCTGTTAATTTACACCCTGGGAGGTAGCAGATAATGGCTCATATATTGGAGTCCCTGCCACCCACCTGGGAGAGACCCAGACCAAATTCCCAGTTCCTAGCTTCAGATTGGGCTGTCCCTGGCTATTACAAGCGTTTGAAGAGTGAATCAGCCAATAGAAACACTGCTGCCTCTCTCTCTGTCTCTTCCTCTCCCATTCCCTGTCTCCTTCTCTCCCCCTCTCCCTCTGTTTTTCTCTTTCTCTGTTCCTCTTCCTCCCTCCCTCTTTCCATCTCTCCCTATCTGCACTCCTCCAATGACTAAAAGAAATAATATTTTATTAAAGTTTATGAAAAATAAGTTTTAGCACAAAAGATTTTGAAAGCTTCATGTGTTTTTTTTTTCATAATTCACATTGCCGTGAGATTTCTGAAGACCCCTTGTTCTGAAATCCATAGATTTCAGAAATTTTGCACTAAAATAAGCTTATAATTCTATCTTCCATGAACTTTTGAGTGTGACCATGTAAGATGGAACTTATCATGGGAATTGGATCATGCAAGTATAGAAACTAATGGGTCCCATGATTTTCTGCCTTTAAGTTGGAGATCCAAGAAAGCCAGTGATGTGACTCACTTGGAGTTCTAAGGTCAGCGAAGTTGTGGGGAGCCACTGGTGTGAGTCCCAGAGTCCCAAGGCTGAGAGCCTGGATTTCTGATGTTTGTGGGCAGGAGAAGGTGGAAATCCAGGCTTCCGAAGAGATCATGAAGTTATTCTTTCTCTGCCTTTTTCTATACAAGCATTCAGCAGATTGAATAAAATGCCCACCCATTCCCTGAAAAGGACCTCTCATTCTACTGGCTTAAAGGCTGTTCCCACTCACACATACACACTCAAAAATAATGGTTCACCAGCTGCTAACTATTCCTTAACCCAAATGCATTAGTGAATCTGCAAGGCAGGTAACTTTACAAAGAGAAGGAGTTATTTAGCTCACACTTTTCGAGGTCCAAGGACATGGTGCCTGCATCCATTCAATTCTAATAGGCCTCAAAATAAAGGAAGTTGAGTGAGAGTACAGTTGGGCTTTTTAGAGTAGTGTTTTTTGGGGAAGATCTCCAAAAGCACTACATAATTACTACTTTCCAGGAGTACACCCCCCAGTGGCTTGAAGCCAATCCTCCAATAACTGAACCCAGTAGGGCACTTAGGCCCCATCTAAACCATAGCACCAGGTGAGCTAAAATTAATCATAACAACAATTATATAAGAATCTCTAAGGACAGAACCTGGATCTTAACATATTTTAGAAACTTCCCAAGTAATACCAAAGTATGGCCTGAGTTGAGTCATACTACTTTTAATGAAAACAAATGGCTGCACATTAGAATCACCTGGTAGGGTTCAAAAATTCTTAAGCCCAGGCTTTACCTTGAGTCAGAATCCCTGGGACTGAGATCCAGGTAGCAGCATTTGTAAGAACTCCCAAGTGATTGCAATGTACAGCCAACATTGAGAATTAGTTTCTATCATCTAACAAGTACAGTTTGCAGCTTAACAGTGGTTTAACTACTATATTTATTTTCATTCTGATGAAAAAATGATATACATTCAGTAGAGATCATACTTTAGACTTGATTTTTTCCTGTCTGGAATATAGTACTCTCTGGTGGATGTGTGCAACAGCTGCAACTCCCAGTCTATCATACATAAGAAGAGGAAATAACCCATACTCTGCCTTGTACCATGTTGCTGAACTGAGATATCTAGCTAGTTCTATTCAACATATTTGCCTCTTGATGATTTAGGAGTATGTAACCTCATCATGGTCAAGGTGTATCTGTACTTGATGCTTTTGATTGGTTTTAAAAATCCTCACTTCATTCTTTTCTTTCCTTCTTCCAGTTACCAAGTCTCAATTTTTTTTTACCATTAGAGTATTTCTTATTGCAGTTTGTTTATTTCCAGTTTAAAAAAACTACTTATTTTGTTATTCCATGATATGGTGCCATAGGCTCTGGGATTTCCTTTCCCTCCTCCCCAAATTCCCCCATCTACAATGTCTCTCTTGTCATTATAATAGTATAGTTCCTTTATTTTCATTGCCACTGCCTATCACTTTGTAATTCAGATCTTGAATTAATACTTGAGCTTTTAAAATGTTCTTGTAAGGGGTTACTTACTTATAAGGGATTTCTGTACTGGCAGTCAGTCTCCTTTTAATTCACTCTGCATATCAATGCTGTGAAATATTTCCTTAAGCACAGATTTCTAACATTAGTGTATCTACAACTTTAACATGCATAGGAATCATCCTAAATTGATCACATTTTGATTCACAAAGTCCTAAGTCAGTACATCGTAGTAATCTAAAATAAGTTCTCAATCTTTGAGGATTGCTGCAGAATGTAAGAAGAGCCTTCCAGCGGTGGTTACTAAAAAGATTTGCAGCTATGATATGCATATGAGATTACATAATTAAATGAAATTAAATAGCTAGCTAAGTGTGTGAGTGAATAAATAAGATAAAAATTTCATATGTAATATGATAATGTAAGATTTTTGATGATAATATTACCAATAAGTTTCAAATTAAAATGTATCCCATGCCATACAGATTATATTATTATATAATTATACTAAAAAATTCATTGTTCATATGAACTCAAATTTGACTCAGATTTCTATCTGACAACCCTACTTAGAAATCAGTGCAATGACTATGATTTTTTGCACTTAAGAAGACAATGTTCAGTGTTTAGTTGATAGCATATAGGAAAACTTGGGCTGCCAAAGCAACTTTAAGCCAGTAAAGGGATTCAGCCTGAATGGTGCACTTTCTCAGTAGCCTGAAGAATCGCTTCAGCAGAAATTGGGGATCCCATGCGAATAAAATCACTATGGTGAGGTGCATGGGACTTCCCCTTCTATAAAAAAGTATATTGTGAATCCCTATTCTTCCTCCATGTGACTACCAGTGAGGATGATTTAAGTGAAAAGAAACAAGCTGGATCTAAGTGTAGTTGATCAATGGCCCAATGTACCCATTTAAGGGGTGGGCATTTGACAAAGCAGATCCAGCTCCCTTCTAATGCACATCCTGGGAGGCAGTGAGTGGTGACTCCAGTGCTTGGGTTCCTGACAGCAATGTGGGGGACCTGGACACAGATCTGGATTCCTGGTTTCACCTGGTTTAGCCCTGATGGTCCAGACATTTGGGAATCAGTGATGGAAAACTCACTCCCTCTTGTGTTTTCTCTTTCCCTCTTTCTCTTGGTCTCCTGCTGTGTCTGTTTACCTTTCAGCTAACTAAACATAAATCATTGTTAATTGACATTTTAAGCGTGCACTTTGATGAGCATTTTAACAACTGTATGTACAGCCTTGGGACCCTCACTACAGCCAACACACAGAACATTCCTGTCACCTTAGACCCTCTGCTGCACTCCTTAGCCAATCATTTCTTCCTCCTTCCTCAATCCCACCCTTTGACAATATGTGTGGGGTTTTTATATCTACTTTCTTTCAACTATCAGAAAATGGAATGGGTCACCTCTTAGTAAAGGTAAGTTTCCAGTAAAGTTACTGAGGTCTTTTCTCATGAAATGCTTGGAGCAAGTGAGTGTTTTCACATCATGTCCTCACAGCATAAAACTGGGAGATTCATGCTGTCCAGTTCAAAATGGTTTCCTCTGACAACGACTTCTTCAGAGAAAGGAAATGAAGACAAACTGTCAGAAGAGTGACTACCCTGTCAGTGTGGCTTATGTAGGCTCAAAGGGTCATTTGGCTGACCAACAACCAAGGCCACTAACATGATGCAATACACCACTTCCGGAAGCGTCTTGGAATTTACAGCTATGTAAACAAAACTCAACACAGTATTTGCTTTTGTTTGCACACATAGCTTCTTTTTCTGTCTCAGGAAATATCTGAAACCAAAGAGAGTTACAGGCAAGGCTTGGGGAATAATTGTTAAGGTTGATTGTCAGAAGCTTACCAGCCCCATTTTTACCACCTCCCTGCTGACCAAGCAGGGTGCACCTGGTTGAGCCCCTTGCTTCTCCATGTCCTTGCCTGCAAAATGGAGGTAATAGAAGGACCTGCCACAAAAAGTTCTTAGGAAGATTAAATGCACTAAAAAGAACTTAGCATAGTTTCATGCACACTGGACATAAAAAGGAACAATGGCTAACAGTTTTTAACTAAGGCAGGGAGTGAAAGAGGCATAAGTC